TTACTTACTATATTCGACAAAATTAAAAGACAAGTATCGAGTATGAAGCTTCATTCGCATCACGCGTCTTTTCATTCAGTCAAGTTTTGCTTATTTGGCAGTAATTGTTTCGGACGGATGTCGGACGGAGATCGAGAGTAGACCCCCAGAACGCGCTCGACCGTTATCGTAGATAAACATCAGTCGAAAACGCGAAAAATGCATCATTGTGCCATTATAAACTGCAAAAGCACCATAATTGTGTGTAAACCGATAAACAGGGACTTATTATATCTGTGGTTTAGACAGTTGTTCGGTAATGAGTTAGTTATCATTGCGTATAACACGTTACATTATCTGCTATTGCAATTGTAGAACTCTACCCAGTCAACGAAAGGTTCTTGTGGCAACTAGCAACTGACTTTTGAACATTTCTTACACCGCATTCCCTACTTACAATGATTGTGGATTTTACAAAAGGTTTTGTTGATAGTGTAAGCTATCGCTTCATTATCGTTACTTTTGTTTGATGCTACTGGAACAGAACAGACGATTTGTCACCGTCCGCTGGTTTCATATTTCTCGTGAAATGGTTTGATTATTTTGATTACCAAAATTTTTAAGTTTTCTGAATTAATTAGGTTGAAACAAAGTACAGTTATTCAAAATGCAGGTAAAACTCTTGTTCTTCATCTTAAAATTGTAATGTTAGGAGTTATAACCAATGATTTATGGTGGTATTCTTGTTTGTGTGTATTTTTAGAACCCAAACGAGGATACAGAATGGAACGATGTCCTGCGAGCCAAGGGGATACTGCCTCCAAAAGAGAAAGAGATTTCCGAAGCGGAAATCGTGAATATGATAGAACAGACCATACAGGCAAAACAAGCTGAAAGTTAGTAGTTTGTCTCTAGGTTAATTTTGACACACCTGATGCCCAAAAAGTATTTGTACACTTTAATCAGCTTATCAGCACTCTTGGAATATTCCAATGACATAAATAATTATAAAATTTCTAAGAAAATTTGTAGACTTGCTTGCTTTTACACCTTTATTTCTTGACAAATATGTATTCAGGTGTAAAAACGTTCCATGTTGCCTGTTGCATTGTGTTTAACTATATTTAAACGAATTAACTTTTTGATTAAATTTTGTAGAAGAAAAACAACTATCAGAACTTGACTTAGATGGTCTCGATGAGCTGGAAGATTCCGAAGACGAAGCAGTCATAGAGCAATACCGTCAGAGACGCATTGCGGAGTTGAAGAGGTTGGCAGAGAAGCCGAGGTTTGGGGGTGTACAGGAGATATCTGGACAGGATTATGTGCAGGAGGTGAACAAGGCTGGGGAGGGGATATGGGTAGTTATACATTTGTATAAACAGGGGTAAGTATGGGTATCAGGGTGCAATGTTTTTGTATCCTCTTTCATGACCAAAATAATTTGGGAATCTTATCCTGTGCCCTGAACAATTATACTTTTATACAGCAAATTACAAACTTTCAGAAGTAGTTTGAAGTAGGGATGCACGTTACAATTTGATTTTTATGAACATTGATTCAATTAAATATGATCTAGCGATTTTTTGTATCAATTATTTCAATGTGGTTTTTAAGTGGGTGTATCAATTCAAAATTAAGGCAAATTAAATTGTTTAGATTGTGTTCATAATTTAAACAAATGTCTCATCTTATTGATGATTTTGTCAAGTACAGAAACAAAAAATAAAGAGGAGGACAATGCTTTGGATATTAAGTTGTATGCCATTATTATTGAAAGGTTTAGTTAGATGTAAAAGATTAGCAGCTGTGAAGCAATTCAGAGTCATATGGTCCATTATGATCCAAAAAATCGATTCAAAGAAAAAAATTGTACATCCCTAGATTGAAGCACTTAAAAAAGTCAGGGAAAGGCAGTTCACAATTGGCTGACTATAAACTGAGAAAGAGAAGCATGACAGAATTAAAAAAAAGAGAAAGTAGTGCGGCAGCCGCACCTCTGTGGTGCTTCAGTAATTTTAGTTCGCTTATTGAGACTAAAAGTGATGAGGCTGCAGCTGCATTTGTAAATATAATTATTAAGAATTATTATATATATAATACATATGTTATTATATTAGTAGGTTGTGGCTCAACTGCAGCACCACTATAGCCCCACTGCCATGCTTCTAGAAGCATCTAATTTGAAGACACCTTTTATAGAGCAATTACAAATGGACTCCAATTTAAAAAAAAAGGAATAGTTTAATTTCATACAGCATATTGCTTGTAATTAAATTTTTCACATTTGTATAAGAAGTAAATTTTGGTATAATTTTTTAAAAGAAATTCGTTATTACTCTATTGCAAAAATAAGCTCAAATGGACCTTTCTCCTCAGCATCCAGCAATGCGCACTGATAAACCAATACATGAACCAACTAGCATCAAAGTTCCCGTACACCAAATTCCTGAAAGCAATTGCGCAGACATGTATTCCCAACTTTCCTGAGAAGAACCTTCCCAGCATATTTGTGTACTTTGAAGGAGACTTGAAGAAACAGTTTGTTGGACCTCATGAGTTGAGAGGAACTGCACTTACTTTGGAAGGTAAGTTATACATGTTATAGGTGCATATAAGTTTCCAGAACTGGCCACTTACACAAACAATATTTAAAAAGTAATTACAACATTTGAAAATGGAACTGTTTGGCTGTAGAATACAGTTTGTTTCGTCTGACTGCCACTTGTTTTTACATTGTGGCGTCATTTTAGAAATTGGTTGTCTACATCACCATGGATTTAACTCGTGAAAATTTTCGTAGTATGGATTTTCTACGACTTTAAGTGTAGTTTAACAGCTCAGCTGAGCTTCGCTCGGCTTCAAACTGCTTTTGGCGATGAAGCGCCATGCAAGACGACTATTTATAGCTGGTTTGCAGAATTCAAACGCGGTCGTGTGAATCTCAGTGACGAATTTCGTGATAGTCCACTGCTGTAAACAACAAAAAAATAGATGCTGTGCGTCGTATGATGAAAACAGACAGGCATACCATACCATGAGATTTGGGCATCTTTAGGCATAAGCATGAGTCAAATACAATCAATACTATACAAACATTTGGGTGTGAAAAAGCTGTGCTCTCGGTGGATCCCACACAATTTGACTGAGGCTCAAAAAACGGATCGCGTCACTTGATGCAATAGCATGCTTACCAGATTCAACGAAGGGATGTCAAATTTGGTGTGGGAAATAGTAACAGGTGACGAAACATGGATTTATAGTTACGATCCCAAAACAAAGCAGCTATCGAGCATATGGGTCTTTCGAGATGAGCCGAAATCAACCAAATGGCGCGCGTGCAAAGTGCCTCTAAGCGGATGATTACTTCTTTTTTTTAACAAAACTCGACACGTGGCTACTGTTGCTTTGGAGAATCGTTGTACCGTGAATAGTAATTGGTAGACGACCATTTGTTTGCCGGAAGTGATTGACAAACTCCGTAAAAATTACCATAAACGATACGTATCATCTTGCACCACTATAATGCCAGTTCTCACATGGCCATACAGACAAATTAATTTTTGAAGGTGAACAACGTTGACCTTAAGAAACATCCCGCGTACATTCCCGACCTGGCACCTTGTGACTGTTATTTATTCCCAAAAATTAAGAACCAGTTCCGCGGTCAACGATTTTCACCACCTGAAGAGGCTGTCGAAGAGTATGAAAAATGTGTTTCAGAGATTGTCATGGAGGAGTCATTGGCAATTGGCACAGTTACTAGTTGATTCTCATGTTCAAGCACCAACAAACAATGTGCCGTATTATTATTAAGGTTCTAGATCTTCACATCTTATGGTAGAGCAACTTTATTTTAGCAATTTTGTGTAGTAGCTCAGATTTTGCGTGACGTGGGTGCAGGGACTTCTGCCAACCAAACTCCTCAAGGAGTCAAACCGCCTTCTTGGGCCCGCTAGAGGCTTCAGGAAGTGACTGATACTATGAGGGGTTCCACCTACCAACCAACCTGTAGTAAGCCTCTCCAGAACATTGAAGCAAGAGCTGTTGTGGTTTCTTCGATAATAATAATAATAACAACGCACACACTCATCATAGCCCCGCGCTAGGGAAACCCTGTGTCGCGGGTGCCATGGACACACACGTAGACAACTACAAATTACACCTAAACATACGAAAAAAATAAATGTAGCCCATAGAAATATTTCTCCCGGCCCGGGAATCGAACCTATTGCCTCTGCGTGGCAGTCGTAATCGTAGTCGTCGTAAGTCGTAACCGGTATGGTAACCGTTCGGGCACGGAGGCAGTTAAACTAATTCAATGCACATTTTGCATAAGGGGCTGTTTGTAATTATCAAGGATTATGCTGTCCAATTTCCATGACATCGCAGCCATTTGGCTGCCATGGTAGGAATTTTTGCCGGGGAATATGTGATGTAATGACTAATTGTACTGATGCGTGAGTTATTTCACAGGAGAGGTTTTAGGTGGAAATTCGACGATATGTTTTTGTATGTATTAATTGTCTTCTAAATTTCTAAATCTAAATTTCTTGCAGAATTCGAGTACATCCTGGGCCAAGCGGGTGCAGTAAACACAAAAATCGAGGAGGATCCGAAGCAAAGAATCAAAGACAAACTTTTCACAGATCTTGGATCTAATGATTGGTGATACAAACATGGGTAGTTGCAATTAACTAGTATGGACTATATAATATTTTCTAGCCTTTTTTTTGTCATGCGAATTTTTCGACACATCTACGGAGTCGAATTTAAGCTGCCATCCTTTTCGCGGAATGCACCCATGTCCAGAAGTTTTAGTACTGTTCTGTCTCGCTGGAGCCAAACTCAAGATGCTATCAGTTTGGTGCACAATCAGTGCGAAATTCGTGTGACAAGAAAAAAGCAGCAACAGATGTTTGTTACTGACAATTATGTAAATGTTGTGTAAAGTATTATGAAATGACTTATTTTCGTTTGGAATGTAACGCGTTTCACTTTGGAAGTGGTGTCACTGGCATTCAATTTAGTATGAAATATGTATGAAATGCATTTTTATGTATGTCAATAGTAATAAACAGGTTTTAAGTCCGATAGAAAGTGCGTATCGTTATGTCAATCAGATTTCGAGACGCATTTCTAACTTTTGTATTAAAAGAGTATAATCATCGGAAACTAATAATACAATCTCAAATGAGTAAGACTCGATTTTTTTGGACTTAACAATCTTAAGCCATAGTTTTAAGGCAGTTTACCCCGAGAATGAGTAAGAAGGTTTACTTTATTTACAATATTATTTATTTCAAATATGATACAACCTGAAAGAGCTAAAATCCAAGCAAGCAGAAACTGTACAATAATGACCTTTGGTATTAAATTTTTGTTTCACTATAGAAACCTCATAATTGGCATTTTGAATATCCACCTGAATTTTATTATAGAATATATACGCTTTTAAATAAATTTGTGTCAAATTTTTATTTATTTTCACAAAAAATTACTTACGTTTTCATAAATGTATTGTGACAATCTTTAAGAATGTTTTTTTTTTAATTCTCTGTAAAAAAAGCGCGATCGACACATTGATCTTGCACTTGAGGTGGGTAAATTGGACTCAAGTGTTTAAAAAACTTAATTTACTTTAGTGTTATGTATGCATTTGTCACTCAAATGAATATTTTTATACATTTGGACGTTGGTATAATAAAATTGTTGTTTCTATTTACGACTTTTATTTGACTTCGACTTGTTCTAAGCATTTCTAAGGTTTTGCCAGGTAGCAGCAGATTTGAAACTGTCGACAAGAGCACGGAACACTCCATCGTTATAACACCCTTCTGATTTCTTTGCGTGTACTATGTTGTTTACATTGAACTCCGCATTCTTTAGTATCTTTTGTTCACTTTTGCTTTTTTTTATTCATAAACAGTTATAATACTATGCCTTATGAATAATTGGTAAAGAATATATTCGTTTGAATGAGGATCTTACCTTGTCATAACTCTGTTTGAACTAGCACGGAAGGTAAAGAACATTTTTGTTAATAATAATTATTATTTATTTATTTCTGATAATTTGAATCCGTAATTTTAATATAACGCCATGAGTTCTATTTTCTTAAACCGTTCTATAAGTGGTATTGTAAACATTTGGATGAAAAATAAAATTACTATTATTTGGGTCACCTGTCAAACAATGAAACACTCGTACACAATGAAACACCGCGATAATTTGAAAATGCGACGTTACCAAATAGTGCAGAATAGCGTGCAAGGATGCAGTCGCAGAACCCCCCTCTAGTTTAGTTCAGCGAGTCCGTCACAAAGCACCAGCCGTGTTTTCAAAGTCTCTTTTGATTTATCGGCGAAAAAGTAAGTATTATTTGCAATTTTCGTCGTTTTAAGTCGCAAAGATCTGAGGGTCGCTTCCACTGCGCCACCCTGAGACATAAGTTGACAAGTCCCATGTGCCTGTAATTTCACCAGCATGTCTTCCCTTCAAAACCCTTGGACGGACTCTTTCACAGGGAACTCTAATGCTACTACATAGGTCGTCAAGATAGCTGGTTTGAATAAGCAAGGTGCAGTGGGAGTGGGCTGACCATATCTGTCGAAGAACCGATAACCGATGGGGGAAACGAGTTCTTGAATGGATGTGTATTTATTACGCCCTCTGGCCAGATAGAGTGATGATCTGCGAAAGGTTGCTTGGCAGCACATGGATGCGACAAGTTGACGGGCAGGCGATATGGCGCACGTTGGTAGAGGCCTATGTCTAGCAGTGGACTGTAAGAGGCTGACGATATTGCCGTCCATTAACTAATAATTTTTGCATAAATAAAAAAGTAAAAAAAAGGTATTTGTCTGGGAACCCACATACGAACGGACTAGACGATGTTTATCGAGTCGCGACACGCCTAGTGTTGTTAAATACCGTTTTTTTTCTGAGGTGAAAAAAAACATGAAAAGAGATCGTTTTTTTCTGGAGTACGTTTTTTTGTAAAAGTATGAAAATAAAAATATGACAATTGTATTTTTTACTACATTTTCTCTTTTGTTGTTAATATAATTCTTCATAGATAAATTGCTCAAAATAAATGGGCAACACTCAAAGTGTTGTCAATTTGTGGCGAATTCCCCAGATTGCGGGGAATTTCAACTCGATTGAGCATTTTGTGGGATTGACGCTATGTGGGGAAAATGCGGGGATTCTAACATTTTACCTTTTTTTTAAATGTATCGATTGCTCTTGCATCGCTACTTTGATGATTACTGATAAAAACACTACTTATTTATTTATCAAAGAGCGATACCAACATTTTTTTCCACATCGCACATATCCCATAAATAGCAACATTTATATAGAATTATTAGTAAGCCGAATAAATAAAATTATTCGGTAGGATTAGACTATTTTTTTCCATCCTCTAACGATTTGAAGCACTTTGTCCGGAATTGTTAAATTACTACTATTATCAGTCGGTGCGTCTTGAGCCCACGACCCTTCTAGTAACACCACAAATGAAATTAAATTTTTGTTATAATTATCATGGTAATTGATTTTCATAAACATGTTATATGCAGGGTGCATATTTGAGACGGGGCAGCAAGGCCAGCCACCTTAATCGTTGTAGTTACAGGAAAACGGTTCTAGAAGACTATCCATGAATTTTGAACATATTTTGATTGGCATTCAGATTTTGAAAAAATGGTACAGTCAGCAAGGCAATTTTTACAAAAACTTTTTTATGCCATTCGATCCGGTCTCTGGTGAAGATCAATAGTCTCTATAGGACCAACTGAGGTAATGTCAGAAATCGCAACAAACCTGTTTCCCAAACGATGTTTCAGTGTTTCTTTAAACATTTGAAAAATATATGCCACGCCGATTTCACGAAGTCGTAGCTAAGTAAACAATAAGCCTGGTTCCAAAGCAGTGAAGATTTATCTGCAGACTGCCGATAGAACATCGTTAGTGACTGGATTGGTCCGCACGAAACGCTCCGCGTGTACTTCGCACAAGCCACCCGCGCGCTCATTGCAGGCGACTGTCTTCCGTGATTATCTGCACTAAACATTCGGTTCAGAGCACTGCGGATTCTAAGCATGCGGATAGCCCGCAGGCGGACAGTCCGTACGGACCGTATGCATACACACTATGAAACCAGCCTAAATTCTTCAAGACAGTCCTACCGACTATTTAAAACATTTATTTTTATTTTATTTAAATATAAAAGTGCGTCAGGTATCCCCTAGGGTTTAAAAACAAAAAAGAAGCAGATTTTTATACGTTTATTTATTCAAATACTTAAAATAAGTACGAGATATACGATATTTACATTACATACCCTCTATGTACCAATTATATAATTAATATATAAAATTAATGTTATTTTTAAACTCCTTTTCAACACGGCACGACTTGCAATGCAATCCTAACCTTGCTATGATGCCTGAATATTAAAAAACTATAGGATTTTCGCATGTGGAGGGTTCAATAACCTTTGGAAAACTTGTAGTCTCCAACCCGCATTCGTTCAGCTTGGCTTAAACCCGCTTCTTATACAAGGTCCGTGGTTCGATAATGATGATGGTATTTTTATCTGACACCATGAGCATCGATTAACTGTCTCCGTGGCCGAACGGTTACCAAGCTGGGCTGAGAAATATTTGTATGACCTACATTTATTTCCCTCGTGACTTTGGGTGAAATTTGTGTTTTTCGGGTTATCTATGTGCTCATGGCACGAGTGATACAGGTCTCTCTAGTGCAGGGCTATGAGTGTGTTGTATGCGTTGTTTATTTATTTATTTATTGATATCAAAAGCCAACATGATGGTCAAGACGTTATATTTTTCGATGACGTCACATTTTGACCATTCGATACATTAGACCATTAAATTTTAAATTTGACAGATTCATAAGACCAGATTATGAATGGTTAGTACATAGACCATATAATTTATAGTCTGTCTTTTCGAAGATCGAGTAAAATGACATTTCCAAGGTTGTCAGTTTTCGTAAAAATTGAAATAGTCATGTAGTTGTTCTCGACAATTTTATCGATAGATTGTGAAAGTAGGCAAAATTGTGTAAAATTCAGTCTGAATTATAAATGTTACGACGACGTTCTAATGATTACTAATTCCGTTGTTGTATTATTTATTCTTATTTTGTCAGTTACTCTATTAGTATCGATATCAATTTTTAGTAATACACATTTTAATAACCACAGGAGGATTTAGTTGTGTATATTAGATTCAAATGAAAATCTTGAAAATATGTCTCATTCTTTGTATTTTTTATACACATACTGCTAAATTTAGTGTACGCACGTATGAATGTCCTAAAATTAACAATTCAAATTAACCTGTGCCCAGCAGTTGGACGATTAATGAGCCGATGATGAAGTTCGGTTATTTATTCATTAGCGTAAACAACATTCAATCGATAGTCGATAGAATATTTATCGACTGCAATCACTAGATACTTGTAATTGGGCAACACTTATGCGCAATGAACTGTCATTTTACCCTATTTTCAAAAAAGACAGACTATAAACAGACGCCGCAAGTGTACCTACTTCGCTGGCCCAATGTAAGCTATGAACACTTAGTTGTCGCTGCTACGTTTCAGAACGCGCCCTGCCGTTATCGTAGTTAAACATCAGTCCAAAACGCGAAAAATGCCTAATGGTGCCATTAGAAACTGCAAAAACACCACAGTTAAGTAAAGTAAGTTAAGTAATTTTGTAATCGGAATATGCATAATTTATATTAAAATCTTGAATTTAAAAAAAACAAATACGCAAACGAGTGTATGCCGCATTATTCGCAATACATTGCGACTTTTACTTGGTGTGGTTTGTGGTCCGTCTTTAGTAGTCTATGAATATCTAACGAGCAGGACCTTCATACAATGCACTCAACTTCGTGGTACTGTCGCTTCATCGTGTTTTGGGTCAATTTTTGCGATTAGTGATGATGCATTTTGTGCAACAGTGTGGTTTAGTAGCAATCATGAACACATAACTAAAGAGGTCTGCTAATCTCCATTTTACATATCGTAGCTCTGAAAAAGATCAAAACATCTAATTACAAAACAAACGGAAACACATTTCATTGGTAATTAAATATTAAATATGTAAACTGGTCGATTTGAAGCGAAAAACTATTGACGACACCCGTCAATTGTTTCTAATTCGGGCTGGCCAATCACAAGTGGCTGCACCGGCCAAGCGCAGTTGTCACAGTAATAATTTGGCAGAATAGTTTTGAAACAAATATAAATGACATTTCGTCTCTATTTCTTATTACATACTCGATGCATGAAGCTAATCAAATGTCTTTGACAATCAATCAGGTAGAAAAATCAAGCGAGATGGCATCGAAAGGTAGAACCTGTCCGTTTTGTCACAATAAACGGGAAATAGTGAGATGCACTGCGTCCTAGGAGGTATAAGTCTCTGACAAGTGCATCCCCTGTTCCGAATCAGCAACCCCTGTGTAGATTGATTGTGGTGACGCATTTTGCCAGGCACTGCTCTGTTGGTTGTCGAGATCGGACTCCCAGCTCGAAAACTTTCATTAGGATACGTGCAGCATGTTCTTGTAGGCCTATGATGAGGTCGGGGAGTTTGTCTAACGCGGACTGCGTTATTTCTGGTAGATGTGAATCGAGGCATTCGAGGATCGCTTGTAGACCTGGCGAGGGAGAATGTAAGAATTAGTGCCGAATGTATAATGCAATACATACCATAATATGACATGACTTAGATGTGATATGGTTATATTATGATGTGATTTTAAAAGCAGTAGAACTTCTTGTGAAAGAGGTCGTCTAGGGAAGTACTGCCACCTTACCTATTTCTGCCGCCAAGCAGTAATGTCAGCACTATGTTCTGGTTTTGAAGGGTAAGGGTGCTGGGGAAATTACAGGCACATAGGTCTTGTTAACTTATGTCTTGCAAGTGTTATTTATTACCATCAGGCGCACGCCTTGTTCGTCCCGTCACTTGATATTATAAAAACAAAGATTACCACCATTGACTTACAATTATATGGACGTGGGGTCCGCGCTAAAAAGTGTCCGAACTTATAGGGCGTTAAAATCGTATACAGAGCGTCATTCACGCTTTAGTCTTCGTTTGTTCGACTGACAGCGAAGCAAGCAAAATTAGACAGTACTGCGATGACATTACAATTTAAAAGCTTTTTCATATTCCTTTACATGTCACTACGTTTAAATAGGTTGACTTGGGACATTTTTTCGTGGTTTTTGTAATAGACCCGTCGTCCATTTATTTGTAAGTCAATGATTACCACAAACAAAAGTGGTAAATTAACCAAAAATAATTGGTGTTTTAAAATAAATTTTATATTACGTTTGCAGAAGACTGGTACAATTCGTATTATAAGGTATTAGGTTTGTTGTTTTACACATTTTGGTCGTACGGGTATGGACATTATGTATGGAAAGTGTGATATTCTTTTTTTGGGTTGCGAAAAATTGATACAATAGTGGCTTCGAAAGTGAGGTTAGTGTCGCTAAGTGAAATAAAGAGTCTGTTCTTGTCAATATCGTGTAAGAATAAGTAATATTTTTTAAAAGTAGCGACCAGGCTTGGTGTCCGTGACGGCGGGCAGCAGCTTGGCGAGCAGCGACAGCGCCGTGGTCCGCAGCTGCGCGTGCGCCGACGCGGCCAGCGGAGCGGCGGCGCACAGCAGCGCCTGCGCCGTGGCGGCGCCGCCCCACGCGCCGCCGCGCCGGTTGCCCCACGCCTCCAGCTCCTGCACACGTAGGGGCTATTTCAATCGAGAATGGACAGGCACAGGACAGGAATGTTGCAGAACAAACGTGTACTAGTTTATTCGAGGTAATGGAATTCGTGAATAAAATTAGCTTTATTGTTGTTACTTTGAAAACTTATCGGTCCTGCCGTAGCATGCCGCTACGATAAGGCCATTATATCCACATTTAACTGTCAAATACGAGTGATAAAACCGCCATTTTTAAATTTTATTACAATAGCGGACATGGCGACCATCGTGACGTCACCTTTTTGTCGCACCGCGCGTGTCGCAACCTATATCGCAGTGCCAGACATGGCTGCAGCTGGTCACAGCTGATTTTAAAACATTTTGACAATTCTGCAGAGCAATAAAAATAATAACAAGAAAAATATATATATTGAAAAAAGTTCTAAAGAAATGGTTCTATGCATGAGAGTAATTTGAAATACGTAAATAATAACTAAAAAGAAATAATTTATATAAAGACTGTAGCAACAAAACTCCGCAATTTTTTGTTTCGTCGTTTTATAACGATACGATAAAGATAGCTATATACGTGATTTCATATCGTTATCCTTGCTTTCCATAATGTATAACAATAGTCCATAAACAAATAAACAAATAAACAAAAGAATTAATGACTGTAGCGGTATCTTATCGGTTCAGCATTCGCAATGAAAAAACACAACTTTAATAATGACAAAATAGCATTACTGACTACGATAAATATGTCACGGGGAAATTTATCACATATCGTATGCGATTTATCGTCACGCTACGCATATTGGTGTTGTTATCTGTAGGGTTTAGCAGAAAAGTGTTGCGACTTGGGCAAATAATATACCTGCAGCACCCAGTGCAGTTCATCGGGCGAGTCCGCCCTCCTCTGCAAGGCCAGCAGCGCGTGCGGCGGCGGCGCCGCGGACGCCGGCGCCGACACCTCCGCGGCGTTCAAGGAGCTCAGCGCTGGGATGGATCTGTAAAGATTGAAGTGTTGGTTAAAGCAATTAACTAAAGATAATATTCTTTTCCTTTAATACAAGGTTTGACAAATACTTTAATATGAATGAACGAGTAAAATTAATACAAAGATCGAACATTAAGAAAAAAATACTTCGATGTGGCTGGATTCGAACCAACGTCTTCTGGCAAACCGTGCCGGACGCTATGTGAACTAAGCCAGCGAACGAATTAGCGGACCTTACGAATTTTGCAAAGTGCTTGTTTTCCGTTTTATTGTGATATTCAATAGAAAAGTTAAGAATGCAACATTCCTTATCGCACTTTAAAAAAAGACGTATTGTCAAGTAGCAACCGCGATAGCGATTGAAGGGTCGGAAAGGGAGTGCAAACTAGTAGAAGCGGCAGACGCACGAGACGGTGTCCCGGTGCGCGTGCAGCAGCGCCTGCGCCTGGTTGGGCCGCGCGGCGAGGTAGCGGCGCAGCAGCGCGGCGATGCGGTGCAGCAGCGCACTGTCGCGCGCGCCGCCGCCGCCGCCCAGCCGCGCCGTCTGCAGGAAGCACTCCAGGATGTTGTGGATCTCGCCGCTGCAACGACACGGACTTCGTGACGAAGGGTCCTCACACAGAAGCAACCGCAGCTTGGACTACCAGTATTTCCACGAACCGGCACCGCTCAACTCGCTGCAGTCTCGAGTGTCTCGAGATGCTACCGCATAAATTATACCCCTGTATTTTCAAAACACGGTCTGCAGAATACCAAAAAATTCCAACGGCAGTTGAATAGTAGCTCGATGGCTCGCCACTGACAAGTCATGGCTCTTAATTTTTAGTAGAACTACTAACATACAAAATCTTGCCGCTGGCACTTTATCGTCAAACAAGTGCAATGATTTAAAATTAGCAGACTCGGTGTCCGGGCCATTGCAATTATATATAATATTTATTTATTTAATTTACCAACCAGACAATAGTCACGGCGGAGACGTTTTATAACCGACATCAAAAACGGAGGAGGTTTGTAATAATTATTCATTTCACACTTATAAAAAAAAAAACCTTCGATCCGGCCGGATTCGAACCGACGTCTTCCGGCAAACCGTGCCAGACGCTATGCCAACTAAGCCACGGAACGAACCAGTGGACCTCACGAATTTTTCTAATTTTTTTTAACAACTTTTTTGCCGTATTATAACAAACTAGTGAAAATAATTATATATCTTAGTGGTCAAATATCTTGATATTCAATAAAAATTTAAAGGAGGAGGCTCTCAATCCGACTGCATTCCTTTTTGTGCATATTTATGTTACACGATTTCACATTTGCGAACCGATTTTGATGATTTGTTTTTTGTTGAAAAGAGGGTACCTCAGTGTTGGTCCCATTTAAATTTGAAGAAAATATTCCATCTCTAAGCGCCCAGTAACACAAAGTGAAAGTTTTCGCGTTACCACGGTTCCATGTACAGTCATATACACAAGATACCTGACCCCACTAGCCGACTTTGTCGACCTTTTGGTTCTGAGTACAAATATGTGGAGAAAATTATTAAACAAATAGGAAATGAAACTATTTTTCCGGATTTAAATCGCGTATATTTGTTTTTTCAAACAATCTGACGTTTCGGGCCCTTTACAGGACCCATGGTCACGGTTGACTGAGGTGGTACAGTCTTCAACCAGTTATTTTAGGTTGAAGACTGTACCACCTCAGTCAACCAAAAAAACAAATACACGCGATTTAAATCCGGAAAAATAGTTTCATTTCCTATGTGTAACAATCGCGAAAACCTAAGAACTCGATATTATTAAACAAACTTAATCTTTAACCTGTTAGCCGTAAAATTTATTTTGTTTTGACTCCCTGGTCGTCTCATTACCGAATGACATTTTAAGAAAGTTTTTAAGGCAATTTGATCTTTAACGTATGGTTATTACTTTAATACAGACCACAAATTTCAACCAGCTTTAGTAAGGCCGTTGTGGCCAAGTGGTATAAAGATTGCTTTGCGAATTGAGGCAAGCATGGTTCGAGTCCCATTAGAAATAAAATTTTATTTAGCTATGAATATGTAATAAATTTTTGTTTGTTTTTAACGTCTAGATAGGTGTACGGAATGTCTAAGTCTTGTTCATATAGAACAATAATTTCTAATTTTAATAATTGCGTTAAGTGCGGCATATTAAAACAAGAAAGAAAACTTTGAAAGTCACTAAAACTTTGAAAGTAATTAAAACTGAATAGACAAATAGGAACGAAACGTGGAACAATGCGTAATCACAGAAGACATGATCGTATGCAAATTGCAGAGCGATTTCGTGATTGTTAATCTATCCGTACCTACCCTACGCCTTAATAATAATATCTACCCAATTTCTAGTTAACAAATAATGTGATTTCTCAACGTTAACCATTAAAAAGTGGAACAATGCTGTTAAAAATAAAACGTTAAAATAAAACAGTGCTTCTGGAATCGAACCACGCGTGTTGTAACTGGCAGTCGATACAACAGCCGCTCGACCAATTTACTTGGAAGTAAAATGACAAATTTTAGTATTGGTTTTAAAGATATGTTCATCACCTAGAAGCAACACTCCGCTGTATTGCTTACACAATAAAGTTTTCTTTGTTCAATACGTAAGATGGCTCTCGGAACCAAAAGTTCGGTTTGGGCATGTTAGGGGGTCAGTTATCTCATGTACATGACTGTACATTAATGGCGAATCTGGATTCTATTTACAAGGCAAAAATGTTTAAATTCCTCGGAATAATACAACCGTGCGGTCTCAAGCCAGTCTCAAGCCAGTCTCGCCCGTGCGCCCGAGAGAAGCAGAGTGTATTTTGGCACGACATGAGCGCCACGACAGATGGCGAATAGATGTAATTCCACAAGGAGCGGCGTCGCGAGAGGAGGAGCTGACCTGACGCTGGCGGCGAAGAGCTTGTCGTCGGGCAGCATCTCCAGCGCGGCCAGCAGGTGCTGGTGGTGGCGCGCGTGCGGGAAGGCGAAGGAGCCGCGCAGCAGCGCGCTGGCCAGCGGCAGCGCCCGCTGCCCCGCGCCCTCGCCCCGCGCCCACAGCGCGCGCACGCCCGCCTCCATGCGCCACAGCCTGCCGTTGGTCAGTGCACGAATTCCACACTTCAGACTCGGGGAGCAGACCGTTTCTCTTTTTACGGACATAATGCTGCATCGAGTACATGACCAGAAATAAAGACGAAATAAGGGCCATACATTCCTGGTAACGCATTACTATTTTTTTATTTAGGAAAACATACAGTCTTATACAAATCTTACAGGAAATATATTAACTCACTAACAAACCAGGTCGTTCCATTAGATACGTACAAGTATGACAGAAAATTCAATATGGCGGGAGTATTTATAACTTTGTAAGTTTTTAAACTATATAGTTTTTTTTTAATTGTACTTTTAATGCGTGCTAAATGTGCGATATGATGTCAATTTTGGTTGTTAAAGCTTTCATTTGTAAATTGAGTTTATGTCCCTCTATTCTACAAGACAAAGTATATATGGGACATTTTTTAATATTATTAAGATTTTTGTACTAGTTTGGACTAAGACAAAATGGAGGAGACAGTGATAATTAGTAAACGTTGATTTATGAAGTAACTAACTATAATTCGTATCAATCCATTTTAAAAATTTCGCCTCTATTTCTGGTTAAATACTCGATGTAATGCTGCTTAGGTTAAAGAAAACCATAAATAATATGCACAAATTACATTTCAATAAATATTGTTAATTTTAAACTTAGCTAACTAAAGCATCGAAATAAAGACAATCTTGTCGATCGACGAAGACATCCGTTGTCGATACAATACTACTTTCTAAACGTTGTTATTTATTTATTTATTTAAATTTTATTATACCATATACTGAAGTACAAATGACGGACTTAATGTCATAAGACATTCTCTACCAGTCAACAATCGGGCTAAACAGAACAAACTATAAACATACTTATTACACATACATAATAAACTTATATATATATTATAATAATATATATGTACCCAAAGCAACATTATAAAGAGTCTCGATTTTGATAACTATCAAACGTAAGTCGTTCGTCGTAGTCCAGCCACTGACCACAAGATGGCAGCACGCTTAATAAAATTTCAATATAAAATCAAAACGTAACTTGCAATAAACTTTCAACGATATAGCGGCTGGATAACGTTCAAATTATATTAACGGAACAGAATGAGAAACTACGACCAATCATTATCAAGATTTCATAGTGTTTCTCATTTGTTCGTGTGCGTTTTGCCGACAGTGGTTCTGATAGTAATCGAGGGCACTTCCATTGTTTTTTCTTCCGTGGTCATAACACCTTCACGTTATTTCGTTTGTTTATGTACTCACTTATGTGAAGATTCCTTATTATGTCCCTGACCCTGCTGCGCGGCGGCGGCGATAGCAGTGAGTAACGTGTGGGATACTCGGTCGGTAGCGCTGGTAGATCGCGCCGCCACTTCGGATACTTCCTCGGACGGATGTAGAAGACGGTCCGTGGGGGGTCGGTCCTCGCACTCTTGGAGGAGTTGGAGGATTTTCGGCACCTAGTTTACAGATACTTTGAGCGTTATGGGCGTATAAATAAGATTGACTTTCTTATCGTATATTATTATTTTCTTAAGATTACAAAATTCCGCGAGACTCGACTAGTTTTTGAGACTAATGTATTCAATCTCTGGAACATTGAGATTTTTGAAACTTCAGTCACTTAATTTTTTTTTTATATGAATAGTAGATGTAAATTTTAAATTGCCATAATTTGTTTAAGCACTTATTTTTTGTTTTAAATACGAAATGTTGTGTTCATATCTAGAAGGATACACTCTTCTCGCCTTATAATGTTAATCAATAACTTTTATTTTATTAAATAACTTGTATCCAGTTTCGTGAACCGATAACAAAGGAAAAAAATTTAAACAGTATTAAAAAATCTACTAAACCAATGATAATTATTTATTCTGGTTACATAAACACGGCAATACTGTAAAATGGAGTATAAAGTAATTTATGGAGATTCCGGGAATATAGTAATAGAATCACGTACTCAACATCTGAAACTATATTAAAAACTATTTGTTTCTGCGTGGCTAGTACAAAAATTAAAAAAAAACTTACATAAATAATTTTTGATTTTACAGTTTGAGTCAATAACGAACTAGGTTAAAATATCCTGTGTTGTCTACCTATAAGTATGGAAACCTACTTTTCAAAAAGTCTCGCTTTTGCCGGGATTTTTGGACACCATATCCAGTCTCGATTTTTTTCCCGTAACGCGGAAATGCAGCGAGACTGAAAGCTCAACTCTAGATAATTTTCCCGCTGATTGTAGATACCTTCATATAGAGCAACAGAAGCAGCAGTGGATGTGCCCTGGCCGCAGCCAACGCAGCAGCGAGCAATGAATGTGGCTCGGGGCAGCAGCGTAGTAACAGCGGCAGGCGAGCTTCGATACGCCGGCGCATCGCTTCGAGGCCGCCGCTGCGCTCCGCCTCCTCCGCTTCCGCTACCATGTATCGGACTAGGACGTCGAGCTGTCAATCATAGGACTTCAGCACCAAAAAAAAAAAAACTGTAGAAACAGTGTGCAATATTAATTCAATTTTTAAAGCTAAAGCTTTAAACCTAGAAGATTGGTTCAAAACATTGACATTTCAATCTGATCATGTTACAGGCCTACCGCTTAACTGAAGATTCAGGAACAGACGTTCCTGAGGAAGCTGCACGAAAGAAGTGACAGTTTATGTAACAGCTATGTCGTGATGCACACGGAATAATTTCAACAAGATTTTTTTGACGATATTCAAGAGCAAGTTGATTGAAATCAAATTAATCAATTGTTGTTTTGTGAAACGATAATAAAAAAAATTTTTCTCAAACATGCTCGGAAAAGTTTGCATTATTTTCAAAAAAAGGAACACAGAAAGTTTGTCATTTATGGACCGTGCGACTTTTTCCCGGCCAAGGCCTGCAAAGTAAGTAGCCAAAACGAGGGATTCGTTCTGTGTACCGTTTAGGTTCTCGGGTTTCACTCAAAGAAAAGTTTATGGATGCTGGTATCACGACTGTGGCGTCGCAGTACATTTACTAAAATATTTTGTATGTCCGTAAAAATATACATAATTTCTTTAAGAATGATGATATCCATAATATTAACATAGAGCTAAGTCCAAACTCATGGTACTACGATTTCGTTTAACTAAGGTGAACGACTCTTTTATGGGAAATAAGATTCCGGAGCATATATTAAGTTTATCATTTTTTAAATTTAAAAACTACATTAAAAATATTTTAATTGAAAAGTCCTATTACAAAATTGAAGACTACGTGTTAGATTGTATGGAAGATCTTGGCTCTAGATTCCACACAAATTTGATTCAAAAGGTATTCCATAGCACTAAGTTTATTTGAAAAGAGCAATCCTTAGTTTCTTGTTCGTTCTTCCTAGGGACTTCAGCATAGCATAGAATAAGCAATTCTTTGACTTTTATTGTCTCTTTGGGGTCTTACTCAGGTTTAAAAATAAACAGGTTCTTCTTGCAAATTGTTCAAGCCGTAACATGGCTTGTAGATGAGGTTTGTAACATTTATGGAGTGAAGTGTGCCTGGAAAGGTTCACACAAATACGTCACACATGATTCTGTTAGTGTAACTGAGATTGCTCATAGAGTCATAGGAACATGGAAAGTCGTACAAGGGTGGTGAGAAGTGAAGATCACGCTACCTGTTGATGGTTCAGCCGTAAGGTGTCTTCGGGCGTGTAATGTTTGGGCGTGGTCTTGTCCCGTCCTTGCCACACTCTTGGGCTGCCGATCAACGTTTCCGCGAAGTCCAGTACCGAACTGGCTGCCCATTCCCTGAAGGATCACACTTTTATTGTCAGGTAAATATTTAGCAAACATCTATTAAGCCATTGGCTCGCTTAAAAGAATTGGTTATTCGAGGTAGTATATAATAAGTTAATCCACGTTAACAACATTTTCATTAATTCTTGAACAAACAAAACGCCCGATTGATTCAACAATCTAGCCGCGCATCTACCGGTTCCCCGATACAAAACGCCTGACAGTTTTGTCCGACGAGGAAAGCTGCGCAGCGCCGTTCCATTGCAATGAAAAGATGTTACCGAAACTGTCTCTTTCACTCCTACAAAAAATGAGCGTTACAGGACAGAACCCACGCACAAAAAGATGTAATGAACCCAGTGATGGAAACAAAGCACTGACCCGTCAGGCTGCAGGAGCGTGGTGAGGCAATTGTGCAGCGTGTTCCAGGAGGCGCGGTGCGCCAGCAGCGTCACCAGCAGAGGCCGCCACGCCGCGCAGCTGGAGCGGAACATCAGGTCCATCTGCGCAGGCGGACCGACGCAACAAATCAAGGTTTTTGTCTTTAACATATCAAGCGACGGGACGAACATGTCGTGGGCCTGTAAGCTACACGCCTGTCCTTAACAGTTGCAGTGCCATGCAGAGCTTAAAGAAATGTCTCCATTATCCGTGGTACAGCTGCTGTGGTAAATTATTTAACTGGGACAGTAAGACCAATAATTCAATAATTGTATAAAAAAAATTAAAAATTAATGCTGAGCGATTACATTTGTTTTGTAATTAGATGTTTTGCTGTTTTTCCTACACCACCGAATAGAACAGCACGGCATTGTTAGAGATATTATCTTTATTACGATAAATACAAAATATTTTTGGATTATACGGAGACGTACACACAGGTCAGTAGTTGGCCTGTCTATATTCCAGTGCAAGCGAGAGTTGATATTTATAAGAGCTGTATCGCTAATGTGTTACCAGGAATATATCGACCCCTTAGACGTAAAGTATCGTATGTCGAAATTGCCAAGTTTGCAGAGGAGCCTTTTAAATATTCTGAATTCACTGAAATAAGCACAACACGTGACTAGCACTTCTCAGTTTTATTCGACAAAGCTCGCTACTCACATATAGTATTATAAAATCCTAGATATCGGTTAGAGGATGTATTAGATGATCACTCTATTTGAGTAACAAGCTTTGCCGAATAAAACGGAGAACTTTAAAACGCTTCCCTGTAAACTTGGCAATTTCGACATACGATACTTTACGTAGGAGGGGTCGATATGGCCCTTATTTCGTCTCTATTTCTTGGTATATACTCGATGCGTGTAGCTTACCATCAGGCGCACGGCTTGTTAGTCCTGTCATTTCATATTATATAACATAAACTTTCTGGTAATCGATTTCAATAAAAATTGGCAAATAGATGTAGTTCCACGAACTTTCAGTCGGTTTTTTTTATACTCTGTACTGAGATTATACTAATCTAAGTTTATGCCAATAATAACCATGATAGCCTAAGGGTTTCGCCATAGGGTTTCACCTACCGTCTCTCAAACAAAGGGTGGTGGGTTCGAATCTTTTTTTTATGACGCCAAGGGATGGTACAAACAAGCCGTGCGCCTGGTAGTAAGCTGTGAGTTTTGAATCGCAAAGATGCGAGTAGCATTGCCACTGCGCCCGTCACCCTGACACATAAGTTGACGAGTCCCATGTGCCAGTAACTTCACCAGCACCCTTCCCTTCAAAACCGGAACGCAGTAATACTCACATTACTGCTTGGCGGCAGAAATAGGTAAGGTGGCAGTACTTCCCTGGACGAACTCTCTCACAAGGAGCTCTACTATTCATAAGGGTCTTATGAGGTAAAGAAATGTCTCCATTATCTGTGGTAAATTATTTAACTGGGACAGTAAGACCAATAATTCAATAATATTGTATAAAATAAAAAAAATAATGCTGATCAACTAAGTTTCCTGTAATGACCATTTCATTCAGAAGTTGGACAAGTTTAGTAAAATGTTTTTTCATACAATAGCAAAATGTAATGTTGAGTACATTAATTACAGTCCAAGTGCTGAATTGGTAGCAGTAGAGCTCCTTGTGAAAGAATTCATCCAGGGACCTATTTTTGCCGCCAAGCAGTAATGTCAGCATTACCGTGTTTCGGTTTTGAAGGGTAAGAGTGCTGGTGAAATTATAGGCACATGAAACTTGTCAACTTATGTCTCAGGGTGACAGGCGCAGTGGCAGTGCCCCTAAGATTTTTGCTATTTAAAGCTCTGAGTGGCACTGCAACTATTATGGACAGGCGTGTAGCTTACTACCAGGCCCGTCACTAGGTATTATAAAAAAAGTGTATTTTTAATCGAAACAATAAACTATTTATCCATGCATAAATATGTATTGTTGTGTTGACGATTGGAGCCAGGTGAGGATCATTACGTACATTTTCCGAACATTGAAAGCTGATTATATTTAGTTTTGGAATTTCAAGTGCCGAAAACCCCACGAGTCCTCCGGGAGTACACCGACCTGCTTGTGCGGCCTGGGGCCCAGCGTCTCCCTCTGCAGCTCCGACAGCCAGTCCAGCAGCAGCCCGCAGCCGAGGCCTCGGCGTGCGAACACGTGTGTCGACGCTTCTTCGTCCGTTTCGGGTTTCACCTAATAGTAATATATATAAAACTGTGTAGTTTACTGGCAGGCGAACTTTTTTTGCCCTCATTTCGAGTTCTTAGGTTTTCGCGATTGTTACACATAGGAAATGAAACTATTATTCCGGATTTAAATCGCGTATATAAAACATAAATCTGTGTTTATGATTGTAATTACGTTTATATATTTAATTAATTAACTTATTGCCGAGAGAGGGTGGTAAAATGAACTGCATGAAACAAAACAAACTATCGCAGTTATTTTGCATCATTAAACCTTCACAGGGTTCAACAGTTGTTAATTTGTAAGTACTTTATTTACTTCGCAAATACCGTGTGTGGCTGTCATAGGAATACAAATTTAGTCCTATTGTAATGCATGTTAACTTTACATCATTCATCTGTCATTTACTTAAAATCTGCTTAATTCTAATTACTATATTTAGTCTAGAGAAGTATGATATATACCTGGTTCTCATATTTACCCTCCTGATTTGCGAATAGCAAATGACAGAGCACGTCGGCGACGAGCTGCGTATCTTGCGTTTCTATTATCTCGTTACCCAAAGCCTCTAGAGTGCTAGGGGTTGCGTTCTCCAGAGCTGCAAAGTTACTCAAGGATAGACAAAGGAATTTTCTAGGTAGGTTAATAACAGCGCCATCTATTAGTTAAGAAAAGGGATCATTAACGTTCGTTGATACAATTTACTAGTAAATGCCAAACTTAACGTATGTGTCAAATTGAATATATCCACTCAGATAGTACGGGCAGGAGCGTTTAAATTTTTGCAAGTTCGGAGTGCAAGTTCTAAAATTTTGGGGAGGTTATTTTAGGCAAAAAAATTATGATGCCTGTTCTCTTGGACCTCAAAAATATTTAGGCCACATAGTTGTCGAAGCGCTTGGTAGGAATTGTCGACATGTCAACAGTATAAGGGTGAAATCCTTCGACGCGTCTGGTGTAACAGTAAAGATGTATCACAGCAATTCAAATTTATAATAGTTTCCCAAATTAAATAAAAATAAGGAAAAATTATCTCAATTCATCAAACTAAAAAAAATATCTATTTAAGGTAGCGTTTAACAAAATAGAGGGATATTTAATAAACGATAAGTGTCAAGTGCCATCTCATAATTATTTAGTAAATAACATTTAACCATTATTTTATAAAAAATAAGTTTTAATAGGTTCAGATTAATTTCTGGTGTTCTGTAAATTTGCAGCTCTTGCATGGTGTTACATGCATATGAATAACATATTTAGGGTCTTTGTAAAACTATGTGGCAAGCAAATAAAGATGAATATGAATATCACCATCACTATCCGAGAGATATGGCTTCGACTGCAATGCGTGAGTATTTTCCCCATGAGCAAGATGTTGCCAAAGAAAGATTTAAAGAGCAAATTTTTGCTACTGACGAATCAAGTAGATTTTGTCAAAAAAACTTACCAGCAATAAGCTGTTCCTTGGTGCTCTTAGATGGAATACGAGGAAGGTCATCGCACTCCCGCTTCGTGCCCTTTTCGCCCGCAGTCATGGTTCGGAGGACTGACACCACTGGTCCGGTGAGGCATTTGTATTGTTTGAGGAGGAGGTCCGCAATCTACACGTGGAACAAAATGTGGATCCCTTGTAGATTAGTTTTTAAACATGAAATTTTGTGTATTTGGCGACGTTACAAATTAGGGTCGCATTTGACGTAGGATGTACCTAGGGACAAGAAATGTAATATGGTGACTGTCAGCTGTTACAACAGCGGTATGTCGTTGCATGCATTTTATTACGTGGAGCTAAAATTTCGGGTGACCGGGTCGGTCAATTCGCCCGGGTTTTAATCGGCTTTTGACTGAAAGTCGCGGGGATAATTCCATACTTATTACAAGTTTTGATGTAATGAATCCTGTGGATTTGCAATACTAAGCAAATTAGGATTAGGTTTTTAGCAAAATCGATTCAAGCGCATACGGATTAACGATGTTTTGAATCGATTTATTTTAATACGATTTTTAAGTGAATCGATTCGATAGAAAGTAAAATCGAATCGTCTAGATCAGAAAGCATTTTAGAAATAAACCTTTTTGTAATAATATTATGAAATGTGAACAAAAGTCGATCTACAACAAATGCTTAGTTTTGCCCTCGATTACGGGCATTGATGGGTTTTTAGTCTCAGTTTAACCCGTCCACTTATTTTGGGCACTTGTCCATCTTTGATTACGATACGTATTCGACTGAACATCACGGTGCTTTCGTGGCCGTGGCTGTGCGAAAACCGCCCGCTAGGTGGATCGCCTTCAGCACGCCGATGTCGAGTCTCGCTACCTCGGCCAGCTGCGGCGGGTGCAGCGGCTGCAGCGCGCGCAGCAGCGGCGCGGCCAGCTGCGGGCGGCGCGCCAGCCCCGGCGCCGCGTCGGGCGGCTGCCCCGCCGCGGCCGCGCGCACGAAGCCCAGCGCCAGCGCGCCCACCGGCCACGGCCCGGCCGAGTGCAGCTCCGCGCCCAGCGCCTGCAGCCGACAAGCTCGACGCATTGCCCAACCAAACGAAACCTTTTTTAACTAACAATAGAGCTATTTCCGCCATCCACTAACTAATTCTCTTTTATAAATAGTTCAAAATATAGGAAGTTACTATTTTTCTAGATTTAAATCGCGTATATTTCTTTTTCAAACGAACCAACGTTTCGGGCCCTTTGCAGGTCCCATGGTCACGGTTCACTGAGGTGGTACAGTCATCAACCAGTTAATATAATAAATTAATATATGAAAAACAGTTTCATTCATTCATGTGTTATTATTTATATTAAAATTAGTTAACGTTACCCTAACGATACATAGCTGACATATCATTAAACAATTTCAATATACTAAAACTGGGTTATGATTTTTTTATGATACCTCAAAAAAATATTTTGTCACTTAGCCACGTATTAGTTAGCAGTTGGCAAATTTGTGAAAGAGGTCATCCAAAAAAATACTGTCACCTTACCTATTTCTGCCGCCAAGCTGTAATGCGAACATTACTGCGTTCCACATGAGACTTGTCAACTTAATAACTCAGGATGACGTGCGCAGTGGCAGTACCCCTTAGATCTTTGTGATTTAAAACTCTGACAGGCACTGCAACTATTGTGGACAGACAGATTCGCTCTAGGCTTTTTGGAGGGAAAAGTGTCGTTTTTATTTTGACTTTCAATTATTTTGTGAAATCTAATTTAAAGTGGAATAGGATAGTGCTATTGTGCCTTAATCGAAGATTAAAACGCGAAATTATACGAATCTCGAACTAAAATACCCGTATCGGCCCGTTCTAAGGAATCCCGAGTCAATCCAAGCACGCCGCCTCGAATTGCCTATCCTCTTTTTGGCGGCCATATTTACAGAAACATAATTAAACGAAGACATGGCTCAAAGGACTTGTATCCAAGCCAAAATTATTAATAATAAGTATGGACTGACAAACATGAAAAATATATTATTTTTTTTACAATACCGAATGACAACACAACCAAGTCGTGCGCCTGGTGGTAAATGAGACTCCTACAAAGACCTGACAGGTACTAATACTGCGCCCGTCACCCTGAGACATAAGTTGAAAAATTCTATGTGCCTGCCATTTCACCAGCTCCCTTAGCATTCAAAACCAAAACTCTGTAATGCTCTAATTAATGCTTGGCGGTAGAATAATGCACATAAAACATTTAATTTACGAATACAGGTTAATGTGCTTATTTGTCGATTAAAATTCTATTTCTTGTGTGATTTTTCTAGTTCTTACTTATATTTATTGCTCAAGCATGATTATTCACTAAACTATGGAATGTATAATTGAACTTGTTATATGTATACCTATATGTTTAAAGATGCAAAGAAATTTTTAAAAATCTTTACTAGTCTATCGCAGGGATCGTATTTAGGACCATCTCTTTTCATTTTTCATAATTTTACATGCTTTAAAAGATCTTACAGTAAAAAGCTGCGTAAAAGCGGTATCCAGATCTCCGTGATAGGAATTAGCGCCGGCAAACGCAGTTGCTAGCAACGAGGGAACAACTTCCGGACTCAAGGGAGCCGGTGTCGGTGTCGCTCCCCAGGCGTCCTCCATCTCTTCAGGGAGGGGTTCGTCTTCGAATAGATTGTCATCTGCAAATAAAATCATTGTTCAAAACCTTCTCATCTAACACCTACTAAATAAACCACATGGCCATAGCGCCTAGATCTTCTTATTGTATCGATACTACAGTATAATGCTTGCCAACGTGAGAAAAGGGCTTACTGATTCGTGTAAGGTACACGTACGTCGTGCGGGGAGGCTTTCGTGCACCCCCGCGGTTAGATAACGGTAAAGCAATCTCGTCTTAATCTTTTAAGTTACTTCTTCATTCTTTTTAGAACAATTTTCCTTACAAATTGGTAATTATAATTGGAACATTATGCCGTGGGGCGACGGCTTAAGAATACATTGTCGCCTCCCCATACATGCCCGTGGGGGTCGTAAGAGGCGACCGAGGGCGTCACAAGTGTCCATCTGCTTAGCATTGTGGTAGGCTCTGTGCCGACTGGATAGCGACCACAGTACACACGGCGGAAAACCCTCCACAGTGAAACGCTTTTTG